ACACACACACACACACACACACACACACACACACACATAATCATAACAGAATATGCACACACACATACAGCTCAAAGGAGGAACCCTTTCCAAAAACATCCCCAGAGACTCATTCAGCAGAACAGCCCAGACCTGTTGCAGTATTCGACTGGAGTGTGTGTGTGTGTTGACAGGAGCGCATCCTGAACCCTCATGCAGCGTCCTGTACGTGTGCGGCCTGCTGTGATGATCTGTCAACAGTGAGTGGCACGGTGACTCATTCTCATAAATCATAATCATACTGCTGAGCTGACCTGGGTAAAGAGTGCTCTGAGTAAAGATGAAAAATAATTGTTAAGAAAATGTTAACTGAAATAAAAAAATGAATACAAAGGAAACAAAACTGTAAATTAAAAAGATACTATACTAAATAAAGTAATAAATAAATAGAAAAATGATGGTTGTGTTTAAACAGTAAACCTTTTTGAGAGAAACTCAATCAAGTGAATATATAAATGTATATTATATAAATTATTATTATATAGATACTATTATTAAAAATGAATATAAAATTAAATATAAATAAAAATATGTATCCTGAAAAAAAAAAGAAAAAAAAAACATTATGGTCATGTTTAAACGGTAAACCTTTTTGAGTGAAACAATATATTTATTTATTAATTATACGATTTATATTACAAGTTACCATTATATAATACTTATATGAATTGTTATTTAAGTATCATTATTACACAATAATATAAAATCATAAAATTAAATATTAAATACAGAAAAAATATTCAAACAAGCAATTTATTTCTAAATAAATATTATGTAAAAAAGGAATCAAAATAAAAAATATACTATGAAATAAAATTAAAATAAAATATTTATAAAATATTATTATATAAAGGTTATTATTAAAAAACAGTAAAATAATAATCATAGATTTAATAAATATAATATTAATATTATGCAAAAATAAATATACAGCGTAAGTATGTTGCATGTGAATCTGTTTTAAATGGAAAAAATCTTGCTTATTTCATTTAGCTTACATACTGTAGCAAAACTCCTCTTTCTTTGCCTGTTTCTTCTCCAGTGTACGAAGGACGGATCTTTCGAAGGAGAGGACATCTCCATGGTAATTTGTAATGACTGAAGTCTCAGTTGTGATGTCATATCGCTCTAGAGACTAATTGTGGATTCTGGTGCCCTACAGACGGGCCCCGTCAGACTGTTCGTCCCTTATAAAAGAAGGAAGAAGGACAGCGAGCGCTCAGCTTCTCCTGAGAAGAAGGAAGTTCATTCTCCAAAGAATATCACCCTGGCTCCTGGAGCAACATGTAAGAGCCTTACTGTTCCCCTGTGCCTCCGCACATTTATTCCCAATATTTACATCCCATCAAACATTGTCAGTCGAGACAGATTACCACCTGCACCTGGTATTAACATCCATCTAAACCGCGTCTCCTGTCACCAGATTCTGATGTTGTTGAGGTAAAAATCATTTTGCTGCTAAATGAAAATAAAATGACTTAATTTATTAATTAACTCAGCATGAGTTCAGAACTAATAAAAAAATATATTTTTCCTGTAGGCCAGCAACTAACAACATCACAAGCTGGTGTTGATAAATTCATAAATATATATTTATATTATATATAAATATATACATATATAATAATTATAATTAATTAAAATAATACAATAAAATAAATTATTTAAAAATACTAAATAAATAAAATAATAATAAAATAAAACAATAAAATCCAAAACAAAAAATTCATTATTTTCTGCTTCTGACTAAAATAAAACACATAATACATAATATGTAATACACAAAATGATAAATTACTACAAATAAATAATAAAAAACAAAATTAATAAAATCAAAAAACAAAGTGCATAATTTTCTGCATCTTTGTTTTTTGTTGTTTGTTTTGGAAATGTCATTAATTGCATATTGTATTTCAGACAGATACATAAAATAATGAATTTTGAATTTTTATATAATTTATTATTATTTGATTTATTTTGTATTTTTTTAATAATTTACAGATACATAAAATAATGAATTTTGAATTTTTATATAATTTATTTATTATTTGATTTATTTTGTATTTTTTTATAATTTATTTTCATTGTATTATTTTATTTATTTTAATCAAGCAATATAAATAAATATTAATATTATGTTAAAAAGGAATCCAAAATATTAATAAAAAATATATGAAATATGAAATAAAATGAATTTTTTTATGGTTGCATCTAAATAGTAAACCCTTTTAAGTGGAACTTAATAATATAAATATACAGATGTGTATTATTAAAATGTTTGTATAAATACTATATAATAATATTATTATTCCAGTATCCAAAGAGATACATATATATACATATATACATTTTTTTTTTTTGTATCGGTGGTTATGACTCTCAGGTGTGATTCTGTTGTGAGTTTTCTGATATCAAACCGTGTGACATCTCTCGTAAGTATCAGCAAAGTGAGTAATTCTCTCAGGAGACACTGGAAATGGCTCACGACTGTCTGTCTGCTCTCAGTTACAATGAGTCCGTCTGGACAGATCACCACATCAGGCACGCTGACCTTTGACCGAACGGTGACAGGAGAGACGGCAGCCATCATCTCCGACAGCCCTGTGCCCACTGACGTCTTCACCAACACAACCGGTGGGTGGTGTCAAATACTACAGCCAAAGGGTGTTTTTAATGACCAAAACCACATACTTGCATGCTACTATTTTGGAAGTTTGTAGTATGGGTTTTGTGCACATTATGCAGACTTTCTGGACGTATTTGCCAAAATGTGCAGTATAGAACAGAGCACACTGTGAGGAATACTGTATCCCACAATGCAGTGCACTTGGGTTGACCTTCCATATCCAGTATGGTAAAAGTTTTCTTATTATTTGTTCAAATTGGCAAAAGTTGAGGCATTATTACTCATAAATATGCAAAATAAGTGTATGATAACTGGATGCCACTTGGATGAGTAAGAACAGCCAATCAGATTAAAGCTCTGCCAGAGCGCTTGCGTTTTTTGTGTGCAATTTGCATCAGAGGGTCATTGACTGGTCCGTCGGCGGTCTGTGATCGTGCCATCTGAGGTTGAGACTCTCTCCCCCTCTGAAGCCCAGGATTGGCCTCTTTCTGGCTCTTTTTTGGCTGGAAATAAAAGGGCTGTTATTTTTAGGCCCCTTTGTGTGAGACGGAGGCCGTTTTGAGCTCAGCGTGAGACTCTGATAATGAGTTGTTCTGTGTTTTTGTAACCTGTCCAGTTGGGGTGACTTCTGTTAAATGGCACATTTAAGGGACAGAGGATACATCGGGTCTGTCCTGTTAAGGGTCACGCTTGGACCGTCCAAAGCCATCCTGTGAGCAAATGTCGGGAGACTTCATAACACCTCTGAACCAATGATTTGTATATTACTGCATCCGAGTGTTTCTAGAAATGACATTATCTGCTGAATGAATGAAGCACTGCTGAAGTTAATGCATTAACCTTTGAGATTAATTAAACGTTTAATGCTGTTAAATTCACTTAATGCTGTTTTAGCACATTTAGCTAATTTGACATTCATTCTGTGCAATGTTATTTTTAAATCCTTAACAGAAAAAAAAAACACTTAGTCTAAAAACATGAACTCAAACTTTCTGTTTTCCTGGCCTTATTGTGAATGATTTATCAGTACGTTATTTCAACTAAAAAAATAAAATTAAATAAATAATCAAAATTCAATGAAATTATCCAATGAAATATTTCATATTTTAATTCAAACAATTTACCTTTCCTGTTGATGTCATCAAGGCTGCTTAGGTTTCACAAGCAGATCAATTCCTGATGTATAAAGTCATTTTTTTTCCATTGAATATTCTGTTTTAGCATTCCATCACTTGCTCACCAGTGGATGCTCTGAGAGTCCAAACAGCTGATAAAAACATCACAATAATCCACAAGTAATCCACACCGGATGGACTGGAGTAGTGTGGATTACTTGTGGATTATTGTGATGTTTTTATCAGCTGTTTGGACTCTCATTCTGACGGCACCCATTCACCTCATCTTAAAAAGCACATTCATTTTTTGGTGAACTACTCCTTTAAGTACAGATTTACTAAACTATTTACAATTAATTATTTTCATTTACCGATAGCCAATAATTCCATACACCGCTTTATATCCTTCTTTCAAAGTCTTTTCATTCTTGTCTTGCTCTCTTTTCAAGAGAAAAGGATCATGGTTTGAATTCTGTCTGAGGGTTTATTTCTGAAGTTGAGGGCAGTCGTCCAGTGTAGATGTTTTGCTTCAGGGAGCGTGACCTGGCTCTGTGTCACTGATCCACCACTGTGCTCTGTGTCTCAGGAAATCATCGTTCTCTCCTTCTTTTTATCTCTGTCAGGTTGTGTGTGTCTGAAATGCTTCAGCACTTCTCTTTTAAAGCATCCTGACCTCGACTCGCTTGGACTGATGCAAGAAAATAACCAGACAAAAAGTGTGTCCACAGCCGTGGACCGTAATATTACAGAAAAAAATAATTTCTGCCACAGGAAAATGGGTGCATATTCTCACGTCTACAAAGTATTGATGTAGGAGCAGGGGCCTAGTGGTTAATGCACATGCTCAGACACATTGAGCTGTGGTGCTCATGTGGCCACCGTGAGTTCAAATCCACCTTTCAGGAGTCTTAAAGTCAAGGAAAAAAAAAAACGTCTTGGTGAATATATGTCTATAGTGAATATACATTTTTCTTACATACATTTTCTTACATATAAGCAATTGTTCAGGTTTTCATCTTAATTTCAGTTAATAATGTTCTTGACAGAATTCAAACCATGATCCTATCTCTTGAAAAGAGAGCAAGACAAGAATAGAAAGACTTTGAAAGATGGATATAAAGCAATGTATGGATCATTGGTTGTTGTCAGTAAATAAAAATAATTATTTTGTAAATATTTTTGTACTTAAAAGAATAGTTCACCACAAAATGAAAATGTGCTGAAAATATACCCTCCCTCAAGCTATTTAAGATGTAGATGAGTTTGTTTCTTCATCAGAACAGATTTGGAGAAATGTACCAATGGATCCTCTGCAGTGAATGGGTGCCGTCAGAATGAGAGTCCAAACAGCTGATAAAAACATCACAATAATCCACAAGTAATCCACACCGGATGGACTGGAGTAGTGTGGATTACTTGTGGATTATTGTGATGTTTTTATCAGCTGTTTGGACTCTCATTCTGACGGCACCCATTCACCTCATCTTAAAAAGCACATTCATTTTTTGGTGAACTACTCCTTTAAGTACAGATTTACTAAACTATTTACAATTAATTATTTTCATTTACCGATAGCCAATAATTCCATACACCGCTTTATATCCTTCTTTCAAAGTCTTTTCATTCTTGTCTTGCTCTCTTTTCAAGAGAAAAGGATCATGGTTTGAATTCTGTCTGAGGGTTTATTTCTGAAGTTGAGGGCAGTCGTCCAGTGTAGATGTTTTGCTTCAGGGAGCGTGACCTGGCTCTGTGTCACTGATCCACCACTGTGCTCTGTGTCTCAGGAAATCATCGTTCTCTCCTTCTTTTTATCTCTGTCAGGTTGTGTGTGTCTGAAATGCTTCAGCACTTCTCTTTTAAAGCATCCTGACCTCGACTCGCTTGGACTGATGCAAGAAAATAACCAGACAAAAAGTGTGTCCACAGCCGTGGACCGTAATATTACAGAAAAAAATAATTTCTGCCACAGGAAAATGGGTGCATATTCTCACGTCTACAAAGTATTGATGTAGGAGCAGGGGCCTAGTGGTTAATGCACATGCTCAGACACATTGAGCTGTGGTGCTCATGTGGCCACCGTGAGTTCAAATCCACCTTTCAGGAGTCTTAAAGTCAAGGAAAAAAAAAAACGTCTTGGTGAATATATGTCTATAGTGAATATACATTTTTCTTACATACATTTTCTTACATATAAGCAATTGTTCAGGTTTTCATCTTAATTTCAGTTAATAATGTTCTTGTGTGGTTTTGTTTAGAAGTTCTTTTATATATACAAATGTCTATATAGTTGTTATTTTTATTTCAGTTTTTGTTATTTTAGTACAACAATTTAAACAAAATTAAAATGGGAAATTTCATTTTAAATGTAATATTTTAGGAACTAGCTAAAATAAAAATGTTGTTTATATTTAATTATATATATATATATACAGTATATCAGGTTTTCTTTTTAATTTCAATTAAGATTTTAATAATTTAAAATTTAGTAGTTTTATTATTATTTTTTAAATATGTGCATGTAGTTTTTATTCATTTTTATTTCAGGTTTTGTTATTTTAGTACATCAAGTTAAACAAATTTTTTTTATTTTTAATTTAATATTTTAGCAACTAGCTAAAGTATTTCATGTTTATTTTATATATATATATATATATATATATATATACTGTATATATATATTAGGTTTTTATAACCATAATCCTCATCACAAATGATTGGGAAAAACATGGAAATTAACTGGTAAAATCTGGGCTTGTGGCATTTCACGATTCAGTTTTGCCCTCTTCTATTCATTATATCACTGTCCCTATTAATAAAAGTGACAAAAAGGCCAAAAATAAAAAGCTATAATTTACATTCTCTCTCATAACCTCTTCATTCTTTTTAAGTCCCCTAGCATGAATACCCAGGTATTTTTTATCAGATATAAGCCATGTTTGAGTTAGCAGATGTGTTTTTATTTCAGAAATAAGGGGATAAAGTGAATTTACTAACATCAGGACATGTGAGATCTGTTGAATTATGGGAGATATTTGAGCTAAAACACACAGACTGATGTTTGACTATACAAACAGAGACTCAGATACTGTATTTTGAGCCACGTTCACGTATGTTTCATCCTGTAGACCAGTGGTTCTCAACCTTTTCTTCCATTGGGCCGCACTATGGTCCAAGTGCAAGTCTCACCCGCACGTGTATCATTTACATATTACGTCACCAATACAAACCAACCAGATTTATAATATTACAGCCTAAATATTATGATATCTACTCGATTACATTCATTGAAATAAATAAATAAATAATTCTACTCACCATTAATAAAACACCTGATGCTGTCGGGAGCTGACCAATTTTGTGAAATTCGGCTCGAAAAGAGTAACAGCACAATGAAGTTGCGATTGTAAATTACAGTCTGTAAGAAGCGCACGGAAGTGTGACTTACATTTACATTTAGTCTTTTTGCAGACGCTTTTATCCAAAGCAACTTACAGTTGGGGAATACATAAAGCAATTCTTCTTAAAGAGGCAAACAGACACAGGAAGTGCTTTTAATACCAAGTTTTAGGTATTGTTCAAATAAGTACAAGCTAGAAAGGGAAGGAATAAATAAAAAAATATATATTTTTTTAATTCTAACTTGACGCGTGGCATTGCAGAAAATGTGCGTTCACATATGTAGCCTATGTTGATCCAAATATGGAAAGCACTTTCGAATGTAATAATCTGAGGTTCTCTCTAGAGATGTTTCGCCACATTTCTGCGATTTAAGGATGATTGCTGCGTAGTTTGGGTGTTTTCTTTTGCCTGAACATCTTCAAATGAGTGGCGGGGCAAACCGAAAGTTGATGCCGAAAGTCCAGCACTCTCTTACCTTCACTGCTGATGCTGCCACTATTCTTGTTTGTATGTGTTCCTTCGCTGGCATTTTCCACATTTTGTTTTTTCTCCCTTAAATAACAAATTCGTCCATTCTGATGCTCAATTTTACCGAACTAATGGCTGCTGATGACTATTTGAATTGAATTCTGCCAAAGTGCGCGCTTGTAATTGTTCATTAAATGCGTAACGTTAATTAGCCTACGTCTGCTCATGTCTGAAAATAATATATGGAAAACAAAATTATTTTACATAAAAACATTATAGCTTATATTGTCCCGTCGGATTGTATCGGCTGTGGAGATGAAGACCACAACTCCCATGATTCCACACTCAGTCACAGCGTCATCAAACTACGCCTTTGTTTCTTTGTTTATTTTGAATACGCGCCCTCTAACGGCGAAAATTACATATTGTGTCTTTAATGTAAAAACTAAAATGAATTGTAAATCTGAAAGTTATTTTTTTAAATTGTGTTCAGCATGGTGGGCCGCATTTGAATTTGTGACGGGCCGCGGGTTGAGAACCACTGCTGTAGACAAAGAAACACAAATGAGATCAGCTGTTTCTCCTAGACGGCATTGAGATTCAAGTGTTGTCAACATAAAATTGTGTTCGTCTGGGTGGAGTCCGAGACTGAGAGTGTCCTTTCCTGTCCGTCCGGCCCACATTTCCGAACCTGTTTGGTCTTTTTTAGAGCAAAAAGCTTTTCGAATGAAATGTGGGTCATGGTTAATGGGAGATCAGATGAGGACGGACTGTAAATGTACTCGTCAAAGTCGTACCTGTTAGAACGCCGGTTCACCTTTACAAAATCACGTCCCAGAGGAACATTTAATCACTTCATCTCGAATGTGTGTTTCTCCTCAGTGTTGGCCACCCTTCCTGCGCTGGCGGTGGTGCAGTCTAAACCCTTTCCGGCGGGGCCGCTCATGAATGGGTTTGAGATGGCCGAGCAGCACACGTGGCTTTACCTGGAAGAGATGGCCAATACGCTGCTCAACAACGTCCAGCAACTCAAAGTCCTCATCGCACAGGCCAAACAAGCCAGTCAGAGCGGAGCGCATGCCGCCATCAGCCCCGAGAAAAACAGCAGCGTCAGGAAAGAGGTGATACAAACACTGAAGTCTTTATTCAAACAATTACAACCACAAAACAGGTCAGTGTTAAAGACCCCTGTGGTCAGTGTTGGGGAAGGTTACTTTTAAAAGTAATGCATTACAGTATTGCGCTACTCTCTAAAAAAGTAACTAATTGCATTACTTAGAAAGTAATGTGTTACGTTACTTTTGCGTTACTTTTTCTCATCTGGGCTGGGCTTGCTTGTTTTTAATATAAAAAGTTCTATTTTTGGCAAATGTAAAAGCCCTTCCACACCAAAAGTGAAATAAGCCTCAGCCATTCTGGATTGCATGAAGCATAGGAAGCAGGAGAAGTAAGCTCAACACTCTTCAGCAATAAAATAACCTTCACAAATGTCATTTTTATCTCATGTCATTTTTGCTTATTAATATGGTTGAATTGGATCATTGAAGGTCAGCAGCAAAGACACTAGTTAATAAAATGGGCTTAAATACATAAAGGATATTTGTGTTATTTAATATATTTGATTATTGCAGGTTTGCATTCCACTGTTTTTATTCATTTTGAGGAACACTGAATCTGTTTTTCGTGCAAGTGAGATGAGTAAATGCATGTTCACATTTAGTCTAGAGCTACAGTAAGCATCATGTTCACACAGCGCCTCTGCACTTACTCCCTATTTCTCTCAACCATGAGTACAGAAGAGCTGTCAGTCAGTGAACGGGACAACAAAGTAACTGGCGTCACTTATTTGAAAAAGTAACTCAGATGTTTTCTTGTAAATTAAAAAGTAATGCGTTACTTTACTAGTTACTTTGAAGAGTAATCTGATTACGTAACTTGTGTTACTTGTAATGCATTACCCCCGGCACGGCCTGTGGTGAAAATCAAGTTTTTAATGTTGTTTATCTGGTGTTTTTAATATGCTTAAAGACAAAACAATTAAAGATGAATAAAATTTTGCCACTATCCATTATGTAGCCTTTACTACTTCAGTTAACCGAGGGAAAGTGAAGGAAGTAGTTGAGCTGGTGTGATTGAGTGGAGGTGGGGACTAATTTGCATATTCATAGAGCCGCATATACTAAATGAGGTAGGGGGTGTAGAGTTATATTTAAGCCATTTTAAGGCATTAAGAAAATATTTTCACAGAAATTTTTTTATCAAAGTTGAGTTTTAAGGGATACAATAGTGACTGCACGAGGACTTTAATTAGGTCATTTCATGAAATAAAAGAGTTTAACAAACTCCAATCTTCCCTACACTAAAAAGAGCATTTATTAAAACTAACCTGCAAAAACTGGCTGAAAAATTTCTGATTGTGATGGCATAAACATGAATAAATATTATGCAAATTGGTTGGGTGTTTAGATGTACACATGCAGTAGCAAAAGGGTCACAGAAGTGTGAAAAATGATCCTAAGAACTAAATTATGACTGTTTTTACAGACAGTAAGTTAATGCCCTAATGTTATGTTTAACAGAAAAAAAAGTATTTTAAGTCAAAGGATATTAAATAAAAATTCACCAAATAAACCTTCTAAATACATTTTCCTGTTCTTATTATGGACGATTCATCAGTAGATGTTAGTTCAATAAAATAATTATTACAACTTTGAAACAACTTTCCTTCCTGCTGATGTCATCAAGGCCACTTAAGTTTTAACCAATCGGTGTCGTCGATGTTCCAGTATGTGGAGTCGTCCGCCATAACTGAATGCAAAAAGCTAAATTATGACTGCTTTGGGTCTGAGAAACCTTTACAGACATTATAAGTGGACTAGAGGGGAAAAGTTTATTTTATGACCCCTATAAGAAGCATCATCTATTCATGTTTTTCTCTCGCAGTCCTTTCAGAGTCAGTTGTCACTCAGTGAAGAACCTGAGGGGAAAATCACTGAAATTATCATTAAGGTAAATCTCTCTCACTCTCTCTGTTATCATATCAGTGTTATTTTGTTATCATTAATATACAATTTTCGTTAATCTAATCAAGTAATATTAGTTTAACTGTAGCCTTAGCAACAGATATGCAAGTACATTGAATGCTTTACCACAGGACTGACCGTGGCTCATAAGCTTTAATGGAGCAGAGCTTTGAGTTTTATAATGAGGCTCATGTGGCGCTCTGCTGATGTAGTTGGCGTTGTCAGATGTGTGTGTCGTGATGGGACCGGACGGCCGGCGGTGTAGAAACACTGACCGTCACACACCATCACCCGCTGTGTTTGGCAGGTGCTTCGGTTCAGATGTGACAGAGAGAGAGTGAAGCAGGACTATCAGAATCTGCAGCTGAAAACACACAGATGCTCCACAGGAAAACGCCAATAGATCCCGGAGTCTTTGCTTGTTTAAAATGCTAGTGAAAAATTAACATTCTGGCATTATTTACTCAGTTGCACATTGTTTCAAAAACTTTACTTGAAAACAAAAAGGATATTTTGTATAACATTGAGGCTGCTCTTGATTCACTTGGATGGAGATATGTGCTTTGATACTTATAATGTTTTGACAGATATTCATAATATTTTTGACAACATTATTTTTTACATAAATAGTTCTTACAACATTTAAGGTCTAAATATTATTCGTTAATATTAAAGGTGCAGTAAGCGATTTCTGAAAATCATCAAAACACGCCCCTACCCAAAAGGATCACACCCCTATCTTGATAGCCCCGCCCCCAAATTCATGAACGTGCTATTCAACAAAGGCAACTCCCCCATCATGTGTGGACACGCCCCTTGCTGGTGATTGGCTAGAAATATGTTTTGGTGCTAAGTCCGATCAACAGCATTTCTCAGAAAACACCTACTGCACCTTTTATTATTTTATTAATATTATTATTGATTATTTACACAACAATATTAATAATATTATATAATAAAATTAGACATTACCAGTCAAGAGTTTGGAGTAATTAAGTTTTTTTGATAATGTTTTTGAAGGAAGTCTGCAAAGCTTTTTTTTTTTGTAATTTTTAGAGCTTGACTGTTTTTATTTTGCGTTCAAAAGAAGACAAAAATCAGAACAATCAGAATTGAATTAAGAATGCTTTTTAAATTCCAATTTGAATGGAATTTTTGCAATTATTATTTGAATGCAAGGAAGTAGAATTCATGACTAATTTTTTACTTTGAACGTTGAAACTTTGAATGTTGGCTTTTTATGTTTGAATGTTGAATTTGTTTTATTTTTAAATTGAAGCCATAAAGTTCAGAAAATTCATAGGACAGAGAAAAAGATACAAATTTTAAAAAATCAAGTTGAATTTCACATAATTTAGTTTTTTTTAAAAGCTGAAATTGCTCAACTTATTTTTTCAATATCATTTTTTACGGTGTAGATAGAGAGATTAACTATTCTCTTAATAGTATTAATAGTAGTATGTTCTCTTCTGTGTTTCCAGCACACATGTGTGAACTGCGGTCGAGAGGCGGAGCCGGCCCTGAACTGAATTAAGAATGCTTTTTAAATTCCAATTTGAATGGAATTTTTGCAATTATTATTTGAATGCAAGGAAGTAGAATTCATGACTAATTTTTTACTTTGAACGTTGAAACTTTGAATGTTGGCTTTTTATGTTTGAATGTTGAATTTGTTTTATTTTTAAATTGAAGCCATAAAGTTCAGAAAATTCATAGGACAGAGAAAAAGATACAAATTTTAAAAAATCAAGTTGAATTTCACATAATTTAGTTTTTTTTAAAAGCTGAAATTGCTCAACTTATTTTTTCAATATCATTTTTTACGGTGTAGATAGAGAGATTATCTATTCTCTTAATAGTATTAATAGTAGTATGTTCTCTTCTGTGTTTCCAGCACACGTGTGTGAACTGCGGTCGAGAGGCGTCCAGTGAGTGTACAGGCTGCCATAAAGTCCATTACTGCTCTGGCTTCTGTCAGCGGAAGGTAAGTCCAACCCCAGCATTCACCATCATATTAAAGCGGTTAGAGCCTCTTTATTTTTGGATCCGTCTTTCTGCAGGACTGGAAGGAACATCAGCTGAGCTGCTGTCTGCCGGGCACGACCGTCATCATTCAGGAGGACAGTCAGATGGCCGGTGTGGAGAAAGGGAAAGCCTAGCGTTCTCACTGCAGGACCGTCAGTGACGTATGAAGTTTAGATGGGTGATCGCTTCCGTTCATGTGTTTTAGTTTAGCTATAAAGCCTCATAGTAACAGCTCCCTTGCACACTGTGAAATATAAAGCATACACGGATGACGTCTGTACTTTCTGTACCATTTGAACGGGTTCACCATCTCACTATGGGTTTTGTATGTGAAAATAATCCTTAAAGGGAAAGTTCACCAAAAATCATTTCCACCCTCATGTTTTTCCAAGCCTGTATGACTTTTGGAACACAATGTGTTGTGTCCGAGCTCATAATTTCCATAAAATTAAGACATAAAATTACCAGTTTTTAAGCTTTTAAATGGGGAAAAAATTTTATAATTAAAACGTAATCCACATGAGCTGAAATTTAAAATATTCACTGTGTTGTAGCTCTCAAATCTATGAAAGCTTGTTTCCGCCATGGGAAATAAAACAAAACAGGGAATTGTGAAAAATTCAGAACTGTGAGATATAAACTTGCAATTGCAAGAAAAAAAAATCAAAACAAAAGTCACAATTACCTTTCCTATTTTTAATTCCATGGCGGAAAAAAACAAACAAAAACAAATTGTGAGATGGAAAATCAGAATTGTGAGAGAAAAGGTCAAAATTCTGAAAACTGCAATTCTGACTTTTTTCTCATATATCTAATTTTTTCTTGAAATTATGGGTTTTATATGTAATTAATAAAAAATGTAATTGTGACTTTTCATCTCACATTGCTGACTTTTTTCTTGCAATTCTGAGTTTATATCACAATTCTGAGAAAAATCTGAATTGTGAGAAATAAACTCAGAATTGCAAGAAAAAAGTCAGAAATGTGAGATTAAAAGTCGCAATTACATTTTTTATTTTTAATTACATGGTGAAAACAAAAAAACTGAATTGAGAGGTGTGAAGTCAGAATTGTGAGAAAAAAGTTTATATCTCACAATTCTGACTTTTTTCTCAGAATTGCAAGTTTCTAAAAAAAAGTCTGAATTTGAGATGAAAAAGTCACAATTACCTTTTTTATTTTTTTAGCCAATGGTGGAAACAAGCTTGCATATAAATCTCATTCATGCATACTGGTTTTTTTTTTGTTTGTTTTTTATTTCTACATTAAAATGTGATGCTTTGTGCATATATTATAAATTGAACGCAGAATGGAAAATTCTTATGATACTTTTATGGTGTGTTTTTTGAGCTAGTCACACTAGTTTCATTGTATGAAGCATTGTTTTGTGTCCTACAGGAGAAAGCCAGTCAAACAGGTTTGGAACACCATGAAGTTGAGTAAATGATGACAGAAGTGTGTTTTTTAGGTGAATTATTCCTTTAATTGGACAATAATATAATTTCAGAAACTAATTCTAATGGAGGATTGCATTATACATTATGATACATGAGGTTTCAAAACAAAACAAAAATAAATGGGAAAATCGGAGTTTTTTCATGCCTCTTTATTCAACGGATTTTGGATTTGATGCCACATACACACGTAAAGTGCATTATCATGATAACCTTTTATAATGGATATGACACATTGTAGAGATTAGCTCGGTGAACCACCACACAGCTGACCTGTGCGAAGTAATCCAGACCTAAAGCTACGCAAACACTAACCTGAACTCGCATTAGTCAAAGGAAAGAAACCTCACCAGATTTTACATTCAAAATTCCCTGATGTTAACCTAAACAAGTCATATTGTACATTATTTGCAGAATTTTCTGCATAATCCACTCAAGGGTTTTTGCATTCAAAACAGTCATAATTTTGCTTTTCATGACCGTTTTCCACTCCATTTCTGACCGCTAGAACTGAGCAGGCCATTTTGCTAATGTAGTTGAATGACCTCTATATGTAAATGAACTTTGCATGTGAAATGAGTATTTACAGGCCAACATCAGCCGCTAAAACAAAACTGGGTAACACTTTATTTTAGGGTCTCTTAACTAGTTGCTTATTAGCATGCATATTACTAGAATATTAGCCATTTATTAGTACAAATTAAGCTCATATATTAATGCCTTATTCTACCCAATACCTAAACTTGACAACTACCTTACTAACTATTAATAAGCAGCAAATTAGGAATTTATTGAGGGAAAAGTCGTAGTTAATAGTGAATAAGTGTTCCCTATTCTAAAGTGTTACCCAAAACTGCTTTACATTGTGATATTTTCATGAAACAGTTGATGAATAAACTGTTAAAAACAGACTAATGTGATCAGACAACTTGTTAAAAATAAACTTTAGTCACTCGATCAGCGACAATATGTATCCAACTTTCTTTTTATCCACTCAACGTCACTGGGTTGTTGAGAAATGTCGGTGGTCATGTATTAGTTTTGTTATTTAATCGACATCATAAAGCTATTTTTGTAGCTAATTTTAAATAAATGGGAGGATGTTTTGAGTTCTGAAAGTTACAGTATGTTTTCCTACTGCAATGAACTTTTACTTCCTTCGACTGACGTCTTGTAAGGTGACCCATTTAAAGTGTCTGATTCTGATCCGGGGCACTGAAAGTGTTCAGACACTTTCATTACTTGTGCAATTTTTGAGTGAGTTTCTTTAGAGGTTTCTAGCTCAATTTCGGAGGATATCTGAATACAATACACAGCCTCAACTTCAGATTTCCCATGAGCACCCTTGGCTGATAGTTTGCCGCAGGATGGTGTTTTTATTACCTCCCTTTTGTACTTCAGTGTCCAAATGTGAATCGATACACGGGGATAGAAAATTGTTGGGGGAATTATGGGAAGGGCGCTCAAGCCAAAGAGCCATTCAGTGGCGCCAGAATCATCTAAAGAGACACATCCAGAACAAACGGCAGTGGTTTTCCATTATGCAAGTCAGTGAAGCAAAGATACTACACAAAATATAGTTTTATGGCACATACAGTATACTGTTGTTTGAAAGCTGATACTGTATAGCACTATTCTGAGAGTGTGTGTACACACACACACACATAATATATCTATATATATACAATTGGTTTAAGCTTTATGAAAATAAAATACTGCAATCATAAACATTAGATGGAATTAGATTTTCCGTGTCGACTGAAACATAGCAGGTAATTCTTAGGGAGGTTGTGTCTGGAAAAACACAGGTTTTTGGACATTTGGACAACAATCATCTTCAGGGAAATGTCCGAAAAGGTTTTGGGCAAGGTTCTCTCCAAGTTATGAACAAACATTATTCCAGCAACGTTGAACGTTCTTTCAAAGTTGTCAGGTCTTTAAAGGAATAGTTCACTTCCAGAATAAAAATTTCCTGATAATTTACTCGCCCCCATGTCATCCAAGATGTTCATGTCTTTCATTCTTCTGTCGCAAAGAAATTAAGGCTTTAGAGGAAAACATTCCAGGATTTGTCTCCATAAAATGGACTTCAATTGCAGTTTCAGTGCAGCTTCAAAGGGCTCTACACGATCCCAGCCGAGGAATAAGGGTCTTATCTAGCGAAATGATCTGTCATATTCTAAAAAAAAATAAAAATGTATGTACTTTTTAACCACAAATGCATGTAGCCAATTCAAGCATGAGGTAATAACGTTGGAAAGGTCATGCGCGGTTAGCGCTTCGTTCAAAAAGGTAGGGTAGTAAAAATCTCATTTTCTCCTCCAACTTCAAAATCGACCGACATCGTTGTTTAGGGTATATATGAACACATGGAACGTAATCAGGGAGAACAGAAACAGGTGAGGCGTAATCAATCAAAACAGGTGAACAGGATAAACCATGATTAACTAAATGAGAACAGGAACTGAACCAAATAGGGGCAAACAGCAACTAAACAGAAACAAACATGTGACACCAACATCGTTGTTTTACCTTTTTTGTAAAGGGTGTTTGACTTTCTTTGCACGTTCGCTTTGTAAACACTGGGTCGGTACTTCCACCTACGTCACTCGTGACCTCGTGATTACGTAATGCATGAAGTCACGAGAGCATTTGTGGTTAAAAAGTATATAAGTTTTAATATAAGTAAGAAAATGACCGATCGTTTCGCTAGATAAGACCCTTATTCCTCGTCTGGGATCGTGTAGAACGCTTTGAAGCTGCACTGAAGCTGCAATTTGGACCTTCCACCCAGTGAACCCCACAGAAGTCCACTATATAGAGAATAGTTTTCCTCAAAAACCTTAATTTCTTTTCGACTGAAGAAAGAAAGACATGAACATCTTGGATGACATGGGGGTGA